CAAATATTAACCCTGTCTTGGTAATATAAGTTACAGATATCTTTTCTGAAGTTATAATTTTTTCCCATCTAAATATGATCCCCTTCTTCCTCATAATATGTCTTTTCCGCTTTCAGTTCTACATTTCATTATTCTCCTAACAATTATAGTCAGATTTTCAAAATGTCAATCAGCTTATATTACTCCCTTGCTTAAGTCCTCTGGCTATACTGATACCGGCCACAACAAGCATTTTTCCACATTGAGAGCTTTGCATGTGCCCCTTCTGCCTGAAACACTTTAATCCAGTACTTCAAAAGGCTACCTCTTCTCATAATTAAAGACTCAGCCAGACAGGACACCTCCCAGAGTGAATCTCCCTGTCTTCTAATCTAAGGTTTCCTCTTTTTCCTTCCTTTATTCTCTAACATGATTCTCCCTGTTATTATCTCTGTGGCATATTTAACTGAGATTGGACTGTTCATATTTGTTTACTTATCTTCTTTTTCTCTTCCCTAAAGTGTAATCCCTGTTTCAGCTTTGTTTGTTCACTGCTGCAAACAGTTCCCTGAACTACTCTAGGTATATACTAAATATTCAATTAGTATTTACTAAATTAATTGGCAAATAAGTCCTGTATGTAAAATATTTAACATTGTAACACAGATTTTAGATAGAAGACTCAGAAATAAATGTGTTTTCTTTTCAAGTGTATTTATACTTGTTCTATTTAATTATTTATAAAAAAAAAGTATTTGTCACATCCATCATTTAAATAAACTTCTAATCACCAAAATAAAGAACTTGGCTAATATTGAAAAACAGTAGCCACAAAACTTCCCTATTGTAGTGAAATATATTTTTAATTTCTAAATTTAATTCATATTTGAAGGCAAATACATTATTCATTTCCATTATTCTTCCCTTCTATAATTATAGACTTTAGTATTTAAGCTATGCTGAAATATTTGTTTTTTCCAAACACATTTATCTACTCTTCTCTTCTGCCATTGAGATGTTACTCATTCCCTAAGAAGCATCTCAGATATCACATACACCATCGATCCTTTCTCCCTTCCACTTCCACCTTTCACCCAGCACAGAAAAAATTGCTACAGCTAGTATGTCCTCATGTTGCTATATTTATATTGTATTAAAACTTGTTTGCTTA